TCAGCACGATGCTTTATGAAGCTCAAGATGAGGCAGGAGAATGTTATTGAAGAAAACCAGGGGTGAAGTGTGGCAAGAAGATGGACGCGTTACTAAACGCTGTAGTGAGCAGAGACGCGTTCTGGTGGTCTACGGCAGTGGTGACTGTCATTACCAAGTCACTGTGTGTCTCAGAAGAGTTGGAAGGGGATTTTGAATGTTCCCATCACCTGAAATGATGAATGTTTAAGGTGCTGGAAATGCTAAGTACACTGATTTGATTATTACATGCTGTTTGAACATAGCAAAATATCATACTGTATCCTATAAATATATGTAATCATGTGTTAATTAAAAGTGAAAATGAACAGAAAAGAACTGAAGGTACTTCAGAATATTCATGGGAAGATGAAATCAATTTTATTTTGTGCAAACATTTTGAAAACCATGCATAGGTTTTTCATAGTAGCATTTTCATGAACTTAAGACCTCTCAGTATGTATGAATTTTAGTAATATTTTGCAGCAAAATAAACTTTTAATTGCATTTTTCTTTTTTTAAGTTTATTGATTTGAAAGAATTACAAAGAGAGAGGGAGAGACAGAGAGAGGGACAGATCTTTCATCTGTTGGTTCACTCCTCAGGTAGCTGCAACAGCAGAGCTGGGCTAGCCAAAGGCCAGGAGCTTCCAGGTCTCCCACGTGGGTAGCAGGGGCTCAAGCACTTGGGCCGTCTTCCCTTCTATCCTAAGGCCATTAGCAGTGAGCTGGATTGGAAGTGGAGCATCCCAGACACAAACCGGTGCCCATACAAGATCCAGAGTTGCAGGCTGCAGCTCTACCCACTGCACCACAGCGCTGGCTGCTAATTCCATTTTTCAAACACTTTTTGAGGTACTCACGGATATGCTAGCAGGAGCATTATGGCACAAAGTTCAGGCTGTTGTTGACTGGAGAGAGACAAGGGTGGGCTCAGGTAGAAGCACACAGGTGGGTGGTAAAACTTGTCTTCAAACAGTGCTTTATACTTCGTGTGTCTGTGTGGGTGCAGACTGTTAAAATCTTTACTTAGTGTAGAATTGGTCTTCTGTATGTAAAGATAATTAAAAATGGATCTTAATGAAGAATGAGATGGGAGAGGGAGTAGGAGGTGGGACGGAAGTGGGGGTGGGAGGACAAATATGGGGGAAAAGCTGCTGTATTCCTAAAGCTGTACCTGTTAAATTTGTATTTATTAAATCGAAGCTTTCTAAAAAAATAAAAGATTTTATTTATTTGAAAAGCAGAATTACAGAGAAAGAAGAGACAGAAAGCTCTTGGGTGCAGGGCCCAAGCACTTGGGCCAGCTTCTGCTTTTCCCAGGTACATTCGCAAGGAACTGAATCAGAAGTTGAGCATCAGTGACTTGAACTAGCCCTTATATAGCAGACCAGTGCACTGCAATGGCAGCCTCTAATGGAATCTTCTAAACAGTCACGTTGTATAAGATTTGCTTAAGTTTTAATATTTTTTAAGTTTTTTTAAATGTGGAAATTTATTTTTTTTCTTTTTTTAAATTTTATTTAAGGTATACAAGTTTCATGTATTTATTTATTTAAAGGCAGAGTTAGAGAGATAGAGGGAGAGACAGAATGAGAGAGAGGTCTTTCCATCCACTGGTTCACTCCCTAAATGGGTGCATCAGCCAGAGCTGGGCCAGGCCAAAGCCAGGAGCCAGGAGCTGATTCCTGGTCTCCCACGTGGGTGCAGGGCTCCAAGCACTTGGGCATCTTCCACTGCTTCCCAGGCCACAGCAGGAGTGAGACTGGAAGTGGAGCAGCTGAGACTTGAACCAGCACCCATTTGGAATGCCGGCACTGCAGGCTGTGGCTTTACCTGCTACGCCACAGCACCGGCCCCTTTGCTGTTGTTGTTTTAAAAATTTTATTTATTTATTTGAGAGAGAGAGTTACAGACAGTGAGAGGGAGAGACAGGAAGATCTTCCTTCTGTTGGTTCACTCCCCACATGGCCACAACGGCCGGAGCTACACCGATCCGAAGCCAGGAGCCAGGAGCTTCTTCCGGGTCTCCCACGTGGGTGCAGGGCCCAAGCACTTGGGCCATCTTATGCTGCTTTCCCAGGCCACAGCAGAGAGCTGGATGGGAAGAGGAGCAGCTGGGACTAGAACCGTGCCCATATGGGATGCCGGTGCTGCAGACGGAGGATCAACCTACTGCGCCATGGTGCTGCCCCCCCTTAGGTTTTTAATTGAGATGTAATTTGCATACTATAAGTTTACTCATTTACAGATACAATTTTTTGGTTATTTGGCTGTTCACAGAGGTGTGTGGCTGTCACCACTGTGTTCCAGAGCATTCTCGTCACCCAGCAGAAAGGCGGTACCCATCAGCAGCACTCCTCCCCAGTCCCCAGCCCTGAAACCACAAGTTGACTTTCTGCCCCCGAGTGGCCTGCTCTGGGTGTTGGGTGGTTTTGTGCACTGGTTTTCCCTCCCTGTGCTGGGAAGAGGGGGGCTGCTGCTTCTCTTGTTCCTGCTGTGTCGGTGCCATGACGGACAGGCCACACTGGGACAGGATGTGGGGGATCCTGGCCAGCTGTGTGAGAGGCCCCCAGTGGCCCCTTCATGAGATGCCCACGTGTGCAGGGTGAAGCCCTGACAAACCTGCTGACCTGGGGTTTCCTGTGCCTTTCGGGACAAGGCTGCCATGAAAACAAGGACTTGAAGCTGTGTCCTGCAGGGTGCAGTGCTAACTAAGCTCTGGGTGGCTTTCACTCTCAGCAGGCTCCTCGAGGCATGAGGCTGTGAGGGTTTCCTGCTTCTGGAAGTCATTTTGTCCCAAAGATACAGTTTGGTGTGAGAGACGGGGACCTCCCCTTCCTAGGTACCTTCTACTGGTCAGGCACTGGTTTGAGTAGCTGGGGCTATGTTCTGTGGAGGAGCGGGAGGGACAGGTGGTGTGTGTGCTGAGAGGCAGGCAGTGCTGTGGGAAAGCACAGAGGTGAGGGAGGCCTGCCTGCCTGGGGCAGCACCGGCAGCACAGTGGCCAGGGCTGTGGGCCACTTCGACCCCTGAGGAAGCACACGGCCAGTGCGGGGAGCAGAGGGAGATGGCCCTGGCCACCCTCGTCTGACAGGCAAGGGCAGTGCTGGCTGCCTTCCTGCTTGGGCACGGCTCAGCAGGTCTTCAGGAGCAGGGCTTTGACTGGCGCTTTGGCAGGCAGAGTCTCTGACCTCCTGAGGTCATTTTGAAAACTTTGTTGTTTTCACAAATAAATTAATTTCTCACAAGGCTCCCAGCAGTGTTCTATTTTATCAAAGCTAGCCCAAGTGTAATAGAACACCCGTTCATTAATCTGTCAGATGTTCTGCTGCCGGCGTTCGGTTTTTTATACATCCCTAGCCTGGAAATGTTCATTTCTATCAGCCTGAAAAAGGCAGCAAAACACAGTGCAAGCACAGGGCTCAGAAGGAGCTGGCCCTGGCTCCGCCGGCCCTGGGTTGAGGGCGTAGGGTTTGCAGCCTGGCTCACCGTGCTGAGTCTCACACTGAGGAAAAAAGGCGGGGTCTCGGGTCGAGGCCTAGGACCTTGTAAGTACAGTCACAAAAACAGATGAATTGGGCAAACAGCAAGTGTTCTTGAGGAAGCCTGTGAGCTTGGAAAGAGCCCTGCCCTGCCTGTTGACCAGATGTGCTGCTGCGGAGGGGGGAAGCCTGCCTCCCTGCTTGGCCCCTCCCTTCCTCACTGGCTGGCTGTGCTGTGCAGGCTGAGCCCCAAGGTGGCGGAGGCGTGCATGCACTGGCGTAGTGGAGCTGCCTTGTAGAGAAGGGCACGGAGGGCTGAGCACACACGCTCCCAGGAAGGTTCAAAGTGTACGCGTTCCTCTTAACACTGTCCGGTGTCCAAAATGTGCTTGCTTTTTCTTTCTTTCTTTTTTTAAGATTTATTTATTTATTTGAAAGGCAGAAATCCAGAGAGAGAGAGGTGTTCCATTCGCTGGTTCACTCCCCAAATGGCTGCAACAGCTGGAGCTGGGCCTATCTGAAGCCAGGAGTCTGGAGCCTCCTCCTGGTCTCTCATGTGGGTACAGGGGTCCAAGCACCTGGGCCATCCTCCACTGCTTTCCCAGGCCATAGCAGAGAGCTGGATTGGAAGTGGAGCAGCCGGGACACAAACCGGTGGTACCCGTATGGCACTGCAGGCGGTGGTTTTAGTAGCTACGCCATAGCGCTGGCCCCTAAAATGTGTTTTCTTAGCATAAAATTATTATGTTTGGCATGTGTTTGGCATGGTGGTTAAGCCAACGGCTAACAGCAATCCAGGTCTCCCATGTAGGTAGCGTTAACTACTCCACTTCCAACCCAGCTCCCTGCTAATGTGCATGGGAAAACAGTGCAAGATGGCTCGAGAGCTTGGCTCCTGCACCCACATGGGAGACCTGGAAGAAGCTCCTGACTTTGGATTGGCCCAGCTCCTGCCATTGTGACTATTTGGGGAGTGAACCAGTGGATGGAAGACCTCTTTCTCTGTCTCTCCCTCCCTCTGTATGTCTGCCTCTCAATTAAACAAGTAAATCTTTAAAAAATAAAACTACATCTCTCAGATACTTTTTGGTTTTTTTTTTTTTTTTTTGAAGTATTGTTTTATTTATTTTAAAGGCAGAGTTACAGAGAGAGACTCAGAGATCTTCTGTCTACTGGCTCACTCCCCAAATGGTCCCAACAGTAGGGGCTGGGCCAGGCTGAAGCTTCATTTGGGTCTCTCACGTGAGTGGCAGGAGCCCGAGCGCTTGGGCCATCCTCCGCTGCTTTCCTGGCACTTCAGCAGGGAGCGGGATGAGAAGTGGGGTAGCCTGGACTCGAACTGGTGCCCATATGTGATGCCAGTGTCACAAGCATCACATCACCTACCACGCCCCAGCACTGTTGCTTTTCCATGGCTGTTTTTCCCTTGGATAGGATGATGGGATGACACACTACTTACTTATCTGTTTTTTTGCCTTTTTTTTTTTATTCCTGGCAGAACTTGTCTTTACTAAAATGGAGTCAAGTAAAAAGATGGACTCCCCTGGCACAGTGCAGGCAAACCCACCGCTGAAGCTGCACCCTGACCGGGGCGCTGGGACAGCTGTTTTCGCCCCTGAGCAGGGAGGCTACAAGGAGAAGTTTGTGAAGACTGTGGAGGACAAGTACAAGTGTGAGAAGTGCCGCCTGGTGCTGTGCAACCCGAAGCAGACCGAGTGTGGGCACCGGTTCTGTGAGAGCTGCATGGCTGCCCTGTTGAGGTGGGTGCTGTATGGCCCAGTGGGCAGCCCTTGCTTAGCCTGCTTGTGCCTGGCCTAGCTCCTCTCCTCACCCATTTGTTTGTTTCCCAACAAAATAAACCTCTGACGGTTTTACTCACCCTGGAGGAGGGCCCGGCTTGTGCAGCTTCGGGCGCCTCCGTGAAATCCGCATCTGCGCTTGCTGAGGTCTGTGTAGGCCTTTGTCCCTGCCCAGCCCCCGTCCTCCGAGGGCTCCCTGCTGGCATCAGCTCCTCTGTCTGCAGCCTCCGTCTCTTGTTGTGGTTTGCTCAAGCAGCTGCTGGTTCTGTGGAGGGGATGGAGGAGCAGCCATTGAGACGGCGCTGTCGAAGTTCCAGACTCTGGCGTGCAGGCGTGCAGGCGTGCCACGCCCGAGCAGTAACTCCGTCTGTGCACTTACCTCTGCCTGCGCTTTTGAGCCGTGTCAGTGCTGCCGTGCAGCCCACCGGGGAGGCTAGCGCTTACAGTCCAGCAGCGGCAAGAAGCAGCTTCCTCCGTCTCACAGCTGCTGTCCGTTTTCTGGATGCCACCCTGGGCAGTAGGGGTAGCAGACACGCCTCAAGCTTCTTGTGGCCCTAGGGCACATCACCAGGGAAGAGTTGCCCAACTCCTTCCAGTTTACCACTTGCGCCTGGGCTGCCCAGAGACCCTCTGGCAGGCGCAGCACCCAGCCTCCCTCCTTGTCACTCTCCTCTCAGTGCCTGCCCCAACCCCCAACACAGCCAGTCTTGCCACATATCCCAAACCGTCCACTCTCTTTGGCCTGCTTAGAGGTACGATGACTCTTTTTTTTTTTCTTTGATTGATTAATTTGGAAGTCAGAGTTACACAGAGAAAAGGAAGAGGCAGAGAGAGAGGGAAAGGTCTCCCATCCACTGGTTCACTCCCCAGTTGGCCACAATGGCCAGAGCTGCGCCGATCTGAAGCCAGCAGCCAGGAGCTTCTTCCGGGTCTCCCACGGGTGTGCAGGGGCCCCAGGACTTGGGCCATCTTCTACTGCTTTCCCAGGCCACAGCAGAGACCTAGATAGGAAGTGGAGCAGCAGGGACTCAAACTGGTACCCATATGGGATGCCAGCCCTGCAGACAGCAGCTGTACCCGCCTCGCCACAGCACTGGCCCTGCCACGATGACTCTTGAGTTGAGCCTAGTGATGACTTGGTGAACTTAGCACCTGATTGCCCTGCCCCTCTGCCCAGAAAAGGCCTACAGGTGGGTGGGCCACTGGGGAGGGGCTGCCTCCCATGCAGTGGGCACTGGCCTTCCAGTTCGGTGGAGACGATCTGTGTGGAGAGTGTGCTGAATACTCTTAGAAAGCAGGAGCCTGTGAAGCAGCCCCGGCAAGCCGCAGGTGCCGGCGCTGAAGAGCTGCTCCACAGAGAGCCAGTGTGGTTCTGAAATCAGACTTGACTTTCATGTTCTTTGAAAAGGCTTTACTGGGGCACTGAGCTGGCGTTCTACTTAGTAAGTTCCTTTTGGGAAATCAGCATTTAAGAAAGTCATCTCTTTTCTCCTGTGGCTTCACATTTGAACTCAGCTCAAACGCTGCCGGGGGCTCTGGTCCTGGAGAGCGCCTGGCTGGAATGCAGAGCCCTGTGCACAGTGAGTGCAAAAGCCACTTCCACGCTAACGAATTGTTGTGTCTCCCTTCAGCTCCTCAAGTCCGAAATGTACCGCGTGTCAAGAAAGCATTGTGAAAGACAAGGTATTCTTGGGTTTCTGATTCATCGTGTGGTCTGGTGCTGGGCTCATCTTTTCACGGGGCTTGCAGTGCATGCACTGGCACCCAGTTCTGCCTCAGTTTGACCACTGCTGTGGCAGCTCCTACAAGGCTGGGTACCATGTGGTGTAGGCACCAGGACAGATGGCGGTCAGAGCTGTTGGCTGCTTCCCAGCTGTGTGGGCTTCAGGAGGTCCATGACAGTGCTGGCATCAGCTGCTAAGGCTCCTGGAGGCAAGGGTGAGGTGGCCCGGCTGAGGCCCTGTGAGTAAAATCCCCGTGTCTGCAGTCACGGCTGTCCCCTGGCTGTCCAGCCCAGACAGCTTATCCCTGACGCTTCAGATTTTACCTTTGAACTCCTGCTCGTCTGATGAGCTCATTTGGATTTGCTCCCCTGCTGCCCGCAGTGTGTTGTGGTCATCTGACGTGAGACAGCCCATTGTCTCCTCACACGGTGCTGGGTGTCAGCCAGAGCCCATGGGTGTCACTGCACACTGAGCACAAAGGACTATCCGGGCTTGCCTTGCCAGACTCCCTGCTGGGCCCGATCCCTCCATGACCTCTCTGACAGGTGGTCATCCATGTGCCACTAAACCCTACTGGGTGCACTCGGAGTTTGAAACAGTGCATCCTCAGTGCTTAAGATCTCAATAAAAGCATGCGTGGTTCTGCCGTCTGACGACGAGCCTAGCAAGCTTTAGATGGAGGTCGCTAGGCTGCGCAGTGAAGCCTGCTCCGGGGTTTGCCTGTGCAGGGCTTTGCGCTCGCTGGGCTGTTGGGGCAACCCAGGCGGATGCCGGGTGGAGGGCTGCTGGGTGTAGGTGTCCTTGTACTGCTGACAGAACCTGCTCTGGAAGGTCTGAGACCATGTGCCTGTTTGTTGGTTTGTTTGTTTATTTATTTATTTTAACAGGCAGAGTTAGACAGTGAGAGAGACAGAGAGAAAGGTCTTCCATCCGTTGGTTCACCCCCCAAATGGCCTCTACGGCCGGCGCGCTGCACCGATCCGAAGGCAGGAGCCAGGTGCTTCCTCCTGGTCTCCCATGGGGTGCAGGGCCCAAGCACTTGGGCCATCCTCCACTGCCCTCCCGGGCCACAGCAGAGAGCTGGCCTGGAAGAGGGGCAACCGGGACAGAATCCAGTGCCCCATCGGGACTAGAACCCAGGGTGCTGGCACCACAGGCGGAGGATTAGCCAAGTGAGCTGTGGCGCCGGCCAGTGTGCCTGTTGTTTAACACTGACCTTCTGCTAAAGGCTTGGGTGAGTTAGGGCTAAGAATACCAGGTCACTCAACTCTACTCCTTGTCCAAATACTATAAGCAACTACCTTGTTCCCGTGTGTCTAATTGATGTAGCTGAGAGACAGTTGAAACCAATGGGTTTCTGGTTAATTATTCAGAATTATTGTCTCTATTTCTTTTTTAAGATTTATTGTATTTATTTGAAAGAGTTACAGAGAGAGGTAGAGACAGAGAGAGAGGTCTTCCATCTGCTGGTTCACTCCCCAGATGGCTGCAACAGCCAGAGCTGCGCTGATCTGAAGCCAGGAGCCAGGAGCTTCTTCCAGGCCTCCCTCATGGGGCAGGGGCCCAAGGACTTAGGCCATCTTGTACTGCTTTCCCAGGCCATAGCAGAGAGCTGGATTAGAAGAGGAACAGCCGGGACTAGAACTGGCGCCCATATGGGATGCCGGCTCTTCAGGCAGGGCGTTAACCCGCTGCGCCACAGCACCAGCCCCTATTTCTCAATGACATTAATAGCCGAAGGGAAAGGAAAAAGGTTGCTGACTATCATGAGAGAGAAGGAGCAGAGCCGGCTGGGTGCCTGGAGGCCTGGTCTGCTCGGCTGCTGTTGCTCCGGCTCCTCGTGTGTGTTAAAGGAGTGGTTGGAATAAATAATCCAGGGCCTTTCTCTCTGACTGCTTTGCTCTTGTTATACTGGGGTGTGGGGTATGGGGGCTGGATGTTGGGTCTGTGTTTTTTATCTGTAAGGCTAAACTCAGGTGATTTAAGGAGAAAGGAAGCTCATTCATTCCTAGTTAAAAATACCTATTCTGTTGATACTATGTATCTTAAGTCATGACTTTTTATTTTTTATTTTTTTAAAGATTTATTTTATTTATTTGAAAGAATTAGAGAGAGAGGTAGAGACAGAGAGGTTGTTCTCCATCTACTGCTTCACTCCCCAGATGGCCGCAATGGCCGGAGCTGCACCAATCCGGAGCCAGGAGCCAGGAGCTTCTTCCGGGTCTCCCACATGGGTGCAGGGTTCCAAGGACATGGGCCATCTTCCACTGCTTTCCCAGGCCAATCGGAATCAGATTGAGAATCGGAAGAGGAGCAGCCGAGACTAGAACTGGTGCCCATATGGGATGCTGGTGCTGTAGGCCAGGGCATTAACCTGCTGTGCCACAGGGCCGGCCCCAAGTCATGACTTTTTAAAAAATCATGTTTATAAAGGATTGGATTTTACTCCATCTTAGTTTATTTTTAATTCTTAACTGTTGTTGATTCTGTTTTTTGCACTGGTGGAGGTCAGAAGGTTTAACTCCCGGTTTCTCTTACACCGTGGGTGTTATTAACAGATGGAGTGTCTTAGAAATGCCTGAGGACAAAGATGTAGACTGTGTTGTTAGATAGAGTAAGAGTATTTGTTTCTAAGGGTAAAATAAAATTAACACCTGCAAGGTTTTCATTTTCAAAGGAAAATATTTTCATTATTAGATTAACTTTTCTGATATATGTTTAAAGGAGTGTTTTTGTTACAGGAGGCCTGTGGTTCCGTTGTGATGAAGAAGTGGGTTATAAGTAGCATAACCTTAGGAGAAGAAACCAAAATAATTGTTTTATAAATCATCACAGAATATGATCTCTTCCAGGAGTCAGTCTGCTCTTAGCAAGCCATCTGAGCTGTGTTGAGGTGCTTCCAAGCCCTGCTCAAGTCGTTCTGCAGGGAGATCCTGCTCCCTACCATCCCCCACCCCGTAGCTGGCTCCTGCAAGTCCCAGGCGTGCATATGTGAAGTGGCCTCCTCTTCCCTTGACCTGAGATTACATCGGTTAATTGAAACTGTTTGGATGTTACAGAGTGGTCTTTAATTATTCAGTATAATTCATTTTATTTTGGCTTATCTAACCAAAGATGGTCAAGTTCAGGTTAGAGAATTTAAATTGTGTCATTTAGTGGGGCTCCTTCATTCTACTTGCAGAAATTAAGATGGTCCTTAATGCTTCCCGAGGTCCACTTGAGAGTTGCTCTCATGCTCTTTTAAAGTGGTTTTGCCTTGTTCAAAATAGTATGTGTAGATTAAGAACTGTTAATCCCGAAAATAAGTGCCTTTCCGTTGCAGGTGTTCAAGGACAACTGCTGCAAGAGAGAGATTCTGGCCCTTCAGATCTGCTGTCGGAACGAGAGCAGAGGCTGTGCGGAGCAGTTGGCACTGGGGCATCTGCTGGTAGGTCCCACGTGGCACTGCGGCTTTGACACAAGGAACATGAGCCCCTTACTTTGTCCAGCTGTGACATGGCACCTGAAGGCCACGTCCACGCTAGTGCTTCGGAACACAGCCACGAACTGTGGCTTCGGAACACAGGCTGCTGGTCCACGTGCTGTGCTGTTTGTATCTTCACTGACAGAGTTGCCAGTTGTTTTTAAATACTCTCGTTCTATTTAGAATAGAAAAATCTGAATTAGATTTTAATTTTGGAAGTCACATTAAAACCTTTTTTTTTACTATCAGAGTCCACATAATTTCTTTTTTTATTTTTTTAATTTACCTCATATTTTACCCTGTCAGCACATTTGATGTGGGATAAAACAGCGCTCTCAGCAGATGCCCATCTGTCCATCGACAAGGAAGAGTGACTCAGCTCTTCAACGGCAGGCACTAGATGGAACGTGGAATTTGGTGTTTCTTGGTGTATTTGCGACTCTTTGCTGTGAAAACTGGTCTGAAAGCTGAGTGGAAGCATTCCGTAGGAGTTCGTTGTGTGGTGGTTAGAGCATGGTATCTCAGATTAGTATTTTTTCTCTGCCAGTTACAGACTTGGAATGGTTTGTCCTGCAGGTACATCTAAAAAATGACTGCCAGTTCGAGGAACTTGCCTGTGTGCGCGCTGACTGCAAAGAGAAGGTGCTGAGGAAGGATCTGCGCGACCATGTGGAGAAGGCCTGCAAGTACCGCGAGGCCACGTGCAGCCACTGCAAGAGCCAGGTCCCCATGATCACCCTGCAGGTGTGCTGCCCACCACCCTCTCAGCGCTGGGGAGCTTCCTCTCAGAGGAGCTCTTTGGATGACTGTTCTTTTTGTTTTTAAAATATGTATTTATTTATTTGAAAACATAGTTAGGGAGAGGCAAGACAGAGATCTTCCATCCGCTGGTTCACTTCCCAGATGACCACAATGGCCAGGCTTCTTCCTGGTCTCCCACGTGGTGCCAGGGCCCAAGGACTTGGGCCCTCTGCTGCTGCTTTCCCAGGCAGAGATGCCAGTGCCGCGGGTAGCTTAACCTGCTACGCCTGCTACACCGCAGCGCCCGTCCCCGACTGACCATTCCGGCAGGACTAGGGAGAAGAGATGGGAGTCAACAGTGGTTTTCATCTGACTTCATTTTACAGTGAAGCTTTATTGTTTGAGCTTATTTTGATTTATATAGTTAACATTTTCTTTTGCCTTTACTGAGTATACTTTCGAGTCTCAAGAAAATAAATAGTAATTTTTTAAAAAATGTAGAATTCTTAACTTGTCCCAGGGAGTGCTCATGGCTCTACATTTTTTAAGAAATTTATTAATTTTACTTACTAGAGAGCCCCTCTGCTGGTTCACTCCCCAGATGCCTGCAACAGCCAGAGCTGTGCTAGACTGGAGCTGGGAGCCAGGAACTCAATCTGAATTTCCCACATGGGTGCCAAGGACCCAATGACATGAGATACCACCTGCTGCCTCCCAGTGTGTGCATTAGTAGGCTATAATTGAGGGTGGCACCAAGACTCAAACCTAGACACCCAGTATGGGGTACAGACATCCCAGCTGACAGCGTTCTCCTGGCTCGGCATTTTGATGGCTGGCTTGGTCTTTGTGCAGCTGCGTAAGTCATCCCGCAGTATTGAAGCACAGCTGCCGTCTTCAGAGAGCTGAGAATCTAGACTGTTCCTGCCTCAGTTGTTGGCTTGGCGCTCTACCTGTAGGGATGTGTTAGAGTCCTGCCTCTTCTGTGTGCGTCTAAGAGAGGACGGCTGTTGAAGGTGGGAGACAGGCTTCAGGAACAGCACACTCGAACAAGCGTCTCAGAGTGCCTGCTGTGTGCTGGCTGCTCTCCTGGGAGCTGTGGCCTGGGGGGAAGCTCACCTTCTAGCAGGAAGAGAGAATTCAAAAATATGTGCTGTTGGGTAGAGATGAGTGCATGAAGAAAAATCCCCTGGTGACAAGGGAAGTGGAAGTGACTGGGGCTGGCTGCTGGGGCGACAGCAAGGACTGTGTGCTCCGAGACAGTGCTCTTGGGGTCATTGGGTTTTAGGAACAGAGTTGAGATGTGAGGGCAAGGGGGGCAGCCGGAGGACACAGGAAGGCACTGGACCTTGAGTTCTGGTGGCAGAGGTGACAGGCAAGTGGGAGTGGTTGGGGAGGCAGTCCAGGGTGGAGCACAGGGTTGGCCGATGGCTCACAGGGGACATGAGGCGAGGATGACCCTGGGTCTTGTGGTGGGAACAGCTGGGTCCTGCCCCGGAGGGGGTTGGTTGGAGGACAGCAGGCAGGGGAACTGGAGGGCGGGAGGGCGGGGAGGGCCGGTGCTTCTAAGCACTGAGCACATGGGGTCACACTTGGTGACTGGTGGGCCATCAGGAGGGTGGAGACTTGGAAGCCCCGCCAGGGGCCGTGGGCTGCTCTGAGCACTGACCGTGTTGTGCATGAACTGAGGTTTGTTCCGCCTGTGTCTTTTCCTGCCATCCTGCAACTCTTCCAGGGGACACTGCAGGTGCTCCTAGTTGCCAAGAACTCTGAGGAACTGTGTCCAGCACTTGTCATAATTGGATAATTCCTGCAGTAATTAAATTCTGGGGGCTGAGACACATATCTGATGAACAGTTCTCCAGGCTTTACATATATTAGTGTATTTCTGTCAGAGTTAGACTTTGTTTCTCGCAAAAATCAATTATTTACAGAGTAGAATCTAGCAATTAATTTTCATTTGAAAAGGATGTCGATTAAATACCACATTAAGTAACAGACTGGCCCCAGCTGAGGCTGTCGAGTCAGGGGTTGGTGCAGCAGCACTGCATGTGGGTTCCCGAGACCTGACCCGGCACACCCAGCAGAGTCGCAGTCTCGCCTGCAGTCCACCCCTGGTGAAGGAGGTAGCCAAGCAGTGGGGAGTCGTGTGGCTGTAGTTAGGGTGAAGTGGTTACTGCAGCCTGAGCGGGTGCAGCTTTAGTGAGGAGTGGTTTTCAGTTTGGTCTGGGTTGTGAGTCTAAAAACAGGTGGGGAAAAAAGACAACAGGTACTCCAGCACGGCTTGATCAATAGCAAGTTTAAGACCTGAGGCCTGTAAATAAATACTTCTTTTTTTAAAAGATGTATTTATTTTTTACTTGAGAATCAGAGTTACACAGAGAGAGGAGAGGCACAGAGAGAGAGAGAGAGAGTCTTCCATCCGCTGGTTCACTCCCCAATTGGCCGCAATGGCTGGAACTGCGCTGATCCGAAGCCAGGAGCCTCTTCCGCGTCTCCCACACGGGTACAGGGGCCCAAGGACTTAGGCCATCTTCCTCTGCTATTCCAGGCCATAGCAGAGAGCTAGATTGGAAGTGGAGCGGCCGGGACTAGAACCGGCGCCCATATGGGATGCCGGCGCTTCAGGCCAGTGCATTAACCCGTTGTACCACAGCGCCAGCCCCTGTAAATAAATACTTCTTACAACTTTTACTATACTACTCATAGAAAATGTTGAAACTAGAGTACACCCTAAGGTTTATGTTGCTGCATCTTAGAGTCTGTGATGGTTATAATAAGCACATGTGTCCAGGGTCACTGCTGGTATAACTCTTCCTCACCCTAACTTGATGCTGTACCCCCACCCTGAAGTGCTGGCACAGCAGGTGCACACCCACTCCTCCCTGACACTGGGACGGCAGGCACACCCACTCCTCCCTGACACTGGGACGG